ATAAAACGTATTTTTGAAATATGTTTTACAATTAATTAGTTATAACACGTATTACAGAAATATGTTTTACAATTAAATATAAATTATAAAATTAATTTTATTTATAAAATACTACAATTAATTAGTTGTAAAAAGTATTACTAAAATACGTTTTACAATTAATTATAAATTATAAAATTAATTTTATTTATAAAACGTATTATCAAAATCCATATATATATATAATTACTAGCTAATAACATTTAATAAAACTATTTAATTTTACCTATGTGGCAATTTAACCATTTTCTCTCCAAAAACCGTTACATTTGATATATTTAATCGTTCATTTAATTATTAAATAATCAACACTAATCACTTCAAAATTACAAAAATCAATTTAAACTTTTGATTACTGACAGTTGATCATATAATGTGTTGACAGTATAATGTGATTAGATGTTATTATTGTGGTTACATTTAAATTATTATTTTTTAAATAAAAAACGTATTTGAAATTCCTAAATAAATAATAAATAATTCACAATAAAAAGACGTACCAAAATATACATTACATCCAATATGATAAACGTAATTTAAAAAATAAATATTTCAAATCCTTTAATTGTAAACTAGTGAGAATCCCGTGCGATGCACGGGGATTTCGTAACTTAAAATATTTTTGCAAATTTTTATTTTAACAATTTGTTAGCCCGTTGATCCGTTTATATTAATATAAATAACATTTTAACATATATATATATATATATATATATTAACACAAAAATAATAATTTTACATATTTTAGTTCATCATAATACTCAAATATTATTTTATTCAAAAATTTATGTCGTATAATGTCAATACTATTTATAACATTTCTAAATGTAATATTCCTACTTTATATGATGATAAATATTTAATGTATATTAATATTATTTATTGATGTGATTTATTTTAAAATATATAAGTAAATGTAATGTTTGTTAGGGATGCGATAGATCTCGATATTTTTGGTACAAATATATGATATATATGTACAAATATATGATACGAATATCTAGAGATACAAATGAAATTTTTATGTAATTTATTACCTTAATAAATTGGCCGCAATTACCTAAATTGTATATTTAAAACATAACATGAAATGTTTAAATAGTTTACAGAATTAGTAAACAATATTTATTTGGCAGAGATAGTTACTATTTAAAAAACAATCAAATATTTTTATATATAATAGTACGGTACCCGTGCGATGCACGGGAGAATTTATTATCTATTTATTTTTTAAAAAGGTATTTTTGTATTTAAATTGTCTCGTGCCATTAAAAATTTATATGTCATTAAACACTTTCTTATGTACAACATTATTGATTTGATTATTTGCCACGTAAAGTACTTCATAGGTGTTCGAATTTAACCAAAATTGCATATTATTAGTTATTAGTTAACTAATTTAAAAAAATTAAATGAATTTATTTATTAAACAAAATTAAAGTATAAAAAAGAAATTTTTTTTAGAGATTTTCACCCATTATTTATTTAAGTCTAATTCTAAATTTCGATTAAGAAAAATTAAAAAGAATCATTAGTTAGTCCTGGAAATGAAACCGAGTTTCCTACCAATAAACCGATTTTCTTATCAAACAAATTGATCCGAATATTTTTTTAAACCAAATAAAAAAAAGTATCCATTTTTCTTAAAAATGCAACCGGATTTCCCTAACGTTGCACCGATTTTTGTACCAAACATATTGAATTGAAAATATGTCTAACAAAAAATTGATTGTTAATGTTTATGCAACTGTTTGTTTCCTAAAGAAAATGATATGAACTTACCAAAAAAAAAAATTGATATGAACTTACCAAAATTTTGGTAAAACATGGTTAAGAAAAAAAAAAATATATAAGAATCCAAGAAAATCGATGCATTTAAATTTTGAAAAGTTACACACAATTTTTTCTAAATAATTGAATAAGGTGACTTTAAATATCAATGATGAACCTCTTTTGTTACCAAAAAATGCGGACACAATTTTGAATATACATCCCGTCCAAATATCAATTTTATTTTAAAATAAAAATTGCACGTGGCTTTATCCAATTTACACAATTATTTTGAAAAAAAAAAATTGTTCAATAAGATTGGAAAAATTGGTTACAAATTATACAACTATTTTCTTCCTAAATTGTATCCAATTTGCACTGTTTTTAAATTAATTTGTATTTAGAATTGTTTTCATAAATAATTGACACATTTTTTGCATAAGAATCTTCAAATTTGTTACCAAAAAAAGATATGATTAAAATTTTGGTAAAAAAATAAAATATAATACGTAAAAAATGGGATTCAAATTTTTCCATAAGAATCTCCAAATTTGTTACCAAAAAAATGGGATTTAGATTTGTTACTAAAGACTCACATGTGTTTTTTTAAACTTTCCATTAATAGTAAGTTAAACATTATATTTATTTGTCAAACTTTCTATTAATGTATTTTCCAACAACCTTTTTATATATAGATATATAGATTTGGTCAAACTTTCTATTAATGTATTTTCCAACAACCTTTATATATATATATATATAGATTTGGTCAAACTTTCTATTAATGTATTTTCCAACAACCTTTATATATATAT